GCCCCGCTCCCCCCAGCTGCCCCCCGTGCTGCCCCGGGGCCCAGGAGGTGCCCCGAGGCCGGGGTGATGGGCTGGGGGACTGCGGGGCACGGGGCGCCCTGCGCCCAGGTCACCCGGACCTGCCGAATCCATCCCCGTGCCACCCTGCACCGTATAGAGCCCATACGTTCTACACAGTGTGTGCGGTATAGAGCCCACACCTCCTACACCAGATACCGTGTGTGCACAGTATAGAGCCCATTTCTCCTATGAGATATACCCCATGTGCACAGTATAGAGCCCATACCTCCCGCATCTTGTGCATGGCAGGGAGTCCATACCTCTTACACCATACACCCCATGTGTGCAGTATAGAGCCCATACCTCCCACACCACGCGGCTAGCATGACTCAGGACTGGACTCATGCCTCCTACACCATATATCCAGCACGGCTCAGTATAGAGCCCATACCTCCCACATGCTGCGCGGCTCAGTGCAGGACCTCCCTCCCACAGCAAGGTACTCAGTATGGAGCCCATACGGCCCATGCCATCCACGCAGTGTGGCTGGGATCCCTCATGCAGCAGGTACCCAACGTGGCTCAGTATGGAGCCCATACATCCCATGCCATCCACATGGTGCAGCTGGGCTCCCTCCTCCAGCGGGTACCAGCCTGGCTCAGTATGGAGCCCATACCTCCCATGCCATCCACGCAGCGTGGCTCAGCTCCCTCCAACAGCGGGTACCACCATGGCTCAGCATGGAGCCCGTACCCGCCTGGCCCACAGCATCTCCCACCCCAGCACACCCCGATGACAACCCTACAGACCCCACCCCACGCCGGGGGCACCCTGGGGTGCTCCCCCATCCTGCCTGGCCCTGCCGTCCCCCTGTCCACCCCATCCCCCCACTCCCAGCACCCAGGGACACCCCAAGGTGCTGCCACCGCCCGTGACCCCGCACCTACCCCTGGGGTGGCTCCGTGACGCCCCTGCCCTCGCCGCCAGCCCCTGCCCGGGCTCTGCCTGCTGCTGCCCGCAGG